AAGCATATAATCCGATCACAACTTTGGCTCCTTTTGAATTATCACCCTCGGGACTATCAACTGTTAAAAATAATAATCCTAATTTTCAACAATCCGTCGGCCCACAATTAGTAACAATTACAAATAAATACTTACCAAGTACACCCGATATATTAGCAATAACAACACCTAAAAACGAAGTAACAAAATTAAGTATTACAACAGAAAGCAGCATATTTTTTAACAAAAATAACAATGGCGTTACAACCATAGGTACACCATTCGAAAAAGGTAATGAAAATTATTTATAAATATTAACATATGAAAATCAATTAAACTCCAAAAAAAACAAATTTAAAGATAAACAAAAAAATTTTTTTAATAATGTATTTTAAAGGACCTACAAAAAAACCAGACTATTCGAACTTTGGAGGTGCCGGTACCGGACTATTAAGTACTACAAGAAAACCATACACACCCGGTCAACCCGGACAACCAGGTCAGCCAGGACATCCAAATTTTGGAGGTAGTTCTACAGAAAAACCGTACCAACCTGGACAACCTGGTCAACCTGGACAGCCAGGACAACCTGGTCAGCCGGGAAAACCTGGACAACCAGGCTATGGAAGTAGTACTCCAGGATTGTTCGGTACAACAGGAAAACCATACCAACCAGGACAGCCTGGTCATCCAGGACAACCTGGACATCCAAGACAACCCGGTCAACCAGGACAACCAGGACAACCTGGCTACGGAAGTAGTACTCCAGCATTGTTCGGTACAACAGGAAAACCGTATCAACCGGGACAACCAGGACAACCCGACCATCCAGGTCAATCAGGACATCCCAGTTTTGAAAGTAGTTCCACGGGAAAACCATACCAACCTGGACAACCTGGTCAACCTGGTCATTCAGGACAATCAGGACAACCAGGACAACCAGGCTATGGAAGTAGTACTCCAGGATTGTTCGGCACAACAGGAAAACCATACCAACCTGGTCAACCAGGACAACCGGGACAACCTGGTCAACCTGGTCATCCAGGACAAGCAGGTCAACCTGGACAGCCAGGACAACCAGGCTATGGAAGTAGTACTCCAGGATTGTTCGGCACAACAGGAAAACCATACCAACCTGGTCAACCAGGACAACCGGGACAATCTGGTCAACCTGGTCATTCAGGACAATCAGGTCAACCTGGACAGCCAGGACAACCAGGCTATGGAAGTAGTACTCCAGGATTGTTCGGCACAACAGGAAAACCATACCAACCTGGTCAACCAGGACAACCGGGACAACCTGGTCAACCTGGTCATTCAGGACAATCAGGTCAACCTGGACAGCCAGGACAACCAGGCTATGGAAGTAGTACTCCAGGATTGTTCGGCACAACAGGAAAACCATACCAACCTGGTCAACCAGGACAACCGGGACAACCTGGTCATCCAGGACAACCAGGACAACCTGGTCATCCTGGACATCCAGGTCAACCAGGACAACCTGGCTACGGAAGTAGTACTCCAGGATTCTTCGGTACAACAGGAAAACCATACCAACCTGGTCAACCAGGACAACCTGGTCAATCTGGTCATCCAGGACAACCAGGACAACCTGGTCATCCAGGACATCCAGGTCAACCAGGACAACCTGGCTACGGAAGTAGTACTCCAGGATTGTTCGGTACAACAGGAAAACCATACCAACCTGGTCAACCAGGACAACCGGGACAACCTGGTCAACCTGGTCATCCAGGACAAGCAGGTCAACCTGGACAGCCAGGACAACCAGGCTATGGAAGTAGTACTCCAGCATTGTTCGGTACAACAGGAAAACCATACCAACCAGGACAACCAGGACAACCGGGACAACCTGGTCAACCTGGTCATTCAGGACAACCTGGTCAACCTGGTCATCCAGGACAACCAGGCTATGGAAGTAGTACTCCAGGATTGTTCGGCACAACAGGAAAACCATACCAACCTGGTCAACCAGGACAACCGGGACAACCTGGTCATCCAGGACAATCAGGTCAACCTGGACAGCCAGGACAACCAGGCTATGGAAGTAGTACTCCAGGATTGTTCGGCACAACAGGAAAACCATACCAACCTGGTCAACCAGGACAACCGGGACAACCTGGTCAACCTGGTCATTCAGGACAACCTGGTCAACCTGGTTATCCAGGACAACCAGGCTATGGAAGTAGTACTCCAGGATTGTTCGGCACAACAGGAAAACCATACCAACCTGGTCAACCAGGACAACCGGGACAACCTGGTCATCCAGGACAATCAGGTCAACCAGGACAACCTGGTCAACCTGGCTACGGAAGTAGTACTCCCGGATTGTTCGGTTCAACAGGAAAACCATACCAACCAGGACAGCCTGGTCAATCTGGTCATCCAGGACAACCAGGACAACCTGGTCAACCTGGCTACGGAAGTAGTACTCCAGGATTGTTCGGTACAACAGGAAAACCATACCAACCTGGTCAACCAGGACAACCAGGACAGCCTGGTCAACCTGACTACGGAAGTAGTACTCCCGGATTATTTGGTACAACTGGAAAACCGTATCAACCAGGACAACCAGGACATCCAGGTCAACCAGGACAACCTGGTCAACCTGGCTACGGAAGTAGTACTCCAGGATTGTTCGGTACAACAGGAAAACCATACCAACCAGGACAACCTGGTCAACCTGGACATCCAGGTTTTGGAGGAAGTTCAACCGGAAAACCTTATCAACCGGGTGAACCTTCGTTTGGTACTCAACCCGGATTCACAGGTCCAACTATTCAACCTTATCAGCCCGGTAAAAGTGGACAGCCTAACGGATTAATTATTGGAAGCGGTACTCCAAGTTTCTCATCTACCGATAAACCTACATTTGTTCTACCTTCTAGTCAAT